AATAATAAATAAATAAATAATATAAAAATAACATAGATGGGCTATAATATAATAAGAAAGTGGGAAAGATGAGAAACTCATAATATATCTTGAAATTTATCTTCAAAAACAAAATTGGAATATTTGAACATTTCATATTTTGATTACTATATTACTTATTTATGTGACATTTGAATCTAATATGCTTTTAAAATTATAGTTATTGTTCTACATTTTCTTTATTCTAAAAACATTATTATTTAAATGTATATTTAGCAATGATCCTCCAATTTAACCACTGACAAACCAATTGAATCAATGGCTCATCGACTTTGGTGCTAAAATCGAATCAATGACCTGGTCAGGTCTAATAACTCTGCTTAGTACTCTTTTATAGTATTATCTCTTGTGGTTATTCTCATTTTGGTTATTAGTGAAGTTCTTATATCCTCATTCGTGGATGTAAATCAAATGATGAATCCTATTAGTTTAGCTTGTTGGTTTTCACTTTCAAATCTTGCCTACCTTTGCGAAACAACAAATGGTATTAGAGCGCAAAAGTATCAAAGTCGAGCTATAATTTTTGGAAAGTGTCATGGCGACAAAGTCCAAATATATAGGCCTTGTTTGATTCCTTTTTTTTTCAAAATATATTTTCTTCATTTTCTTTTCAACTACACATTCTTCATTAAAATAATATCACACATAAATTAAAATTTATTTCCTTCTTTTTTAACCACACATTCTCCATCATTATGACTATATACTCTAACATCAATCTTTTTTTTTATTTATAAAAATAGCATATGAATAAAACACAATACACTCTAACATCAATTTATATACGAGTCAACCAGGTGCGTAAATTTTAAATATTTGTATCGATTTAAACTAGAGTAAAGTAAAATAGACGGATCCAACCCAACCCAACCCAACCCAGTATCTTTATTGTAACACAATTCCTATATCGGGTTGGTCATTATAAATTTTTCTATAAAAATCGCTTTTCATTAGCCTGTTGGAGCTAGCATAGTCCAACATATCATGAACTGTTGTCAAGTCATGAAGAACTTTACCATAACTCGACTAAGAAAAAATGTGGACGGTACATGTCCAACATGATCCACTAGTCTCGAGCGGAGATTGTCTAACAAATATAAATTTATAGCGTGCTTCAAAATCCAAACCTTTGGAATTCGACAAGAAACATAAATTTAAATAAAGAACTTGATTGGCAAATGACAAATTTTCTTGTAGTCTAAGATATCTAGAAGAGAGTGTGGACTTCAAGTAGCAGTACTTCTCTCTCACCTTTCTTAGGAGTGAAGTCTCCGTAGACCCAAAAATCCACCAAGTCTACCCGCGCCTAATGCGCAATGAACACAAATTTGTACCATTATCAATTCCCATAAAAGCCAACCGCAGCATAAACAAAATTGAAAAGAAATATTAGAGAGATATAGAATTCAAGACAATCAGCAGGGTTTTCAGTTTTCTAATTGATTTAACCCAACCAGCCCTTTAACATTTTAAAGGGTTGGTTTGAAGGGTTTGATTTGATTAATTCTATTGTTTGTTGTTCTTGCTATCATAAAAAAATGGGTGATAACTCGAAGAAATTCATTTCATCTGATGAACTAAAGAAGCATAACAAGGCTAATGATCTATGGATTTCTTTTCAGGGGAAAGTTTACAATGTTACAGATTGGGCTAAGGAACACCCTGGTGGGGATATTCCACTTCTGAATTTGGCTGGGCAGGATGTAACTGATGCATTCATTGCTTTTCATCCAGGTGCTGCATGGAAGTATCTTGATAAATTCTTTACAGGCTATTATTTACAAGATTTCCAGGTTTCTGAGGTTTCCAGGGATTATAGAAAACTAGTTTCTGATTTTTCAAAAGCTGGGATGTTTGAGAAAAAAGGGCATGGAGTGATTTATTCCCTTTGTTTCGTCGCATTGTTGATTTTTGCGTGTTTCTATGGTGTTTTGTGCTGTGATAGTTTCTGGGTTCATATGCTTTCTGGGGGAGTTTTAGGATTTTCTTGGATGCAAGTAGCTTATTTGGGTCATGATTCGGGGCATTATCAAATCATGACTAGTCGTGGATTTAATAAGTTTGCGCAGATTCTTACCGGTAATTGCCTTACCGGAATCAGTATTGCTTGGTGGAAATGGACTCATAATGCCCACCATGTTTCGTGTAATAGCCTTGATTATGATCCTGACCTTCAGCATTTGCCCCTTCTTGCGGTTTCTTCAAGATTTTTTCAGTCTTTGAAATCGCATTTCTATGGAAGAAAACTCACATTTGATTACATGGCAAGGTTTTTTGTGAGTTATCAGCACTTGACGTTCTATCCTGTAATGTGCGTCGCAAGAGTGAATCTTTATCTCCAGACTCTCTTGCTCTTGTTTTCGAATAGAAAAGTGCCCGATAGAGCCTTGAACATATTGGGAATTCTTGTTTTCTGGACTTGGTTCCCTTTGCTTGTTTCTTGCCTGCCCAATTGGAACGAAAGGGTTCTGTTTGTCCTAGTAAGCTTTTGTGTCACCTCGATTCAGCATGTACAGTTCTGTTTGAACCATTTCGCTGCGAATGTTTATGTGGGATCACCCAAGGGGAATGACTGGTTTGAGAAGCAGACGAGTGGGACAATTGACATCGCATGCTCCTCTTGGATGGATTGGTTCTTTGGTGGATTACAATTCCAGCTTGAACATCATTTGTTTCCTAGGTTGCCAAGGTGCCATTTGAGGAAAATTTCTCCTATTGTCCAGGAACTATGCAAGAAACACAGCTTGCCTTATAAGAGCTTGTCGTTTTATGAAGCCAATGTGTGGACACTAAAGGCACTCAGAACTGCGGCCATGCAGGCTCGAGATTTCACCGACCCCGCACCAAAGAATTTGTTATGGGAAGCTGTTAATACTCATGGATGAGGATTCAGGGGAGCTTGTGGATCTTGTAAAATTTTGTTGGTTCAGGTTTAGTTCCTCTTAGATGTAAGGTGATTAGGAATCGTTTATTTATATGTTTCAATTCGTAGTTACACGTATATGGCCCTTCTGGGCTAAATTTTGTTTCTTTGCTTTGAGACATTCTTTATTCAATAACAAAAATGTGACATATTTATTCGATCATCGCAGTTAACATTATCCATATGTTGAATATTCAAGGAGCTTTAGTTATGTGGGAAATTATGAATTATGTGCACGAACAGTTTATGCATAGAAGATAAAAATCGTATTTCAAGAAAGGACTAGTCTTGACCAGCTTGCCTCATGTGTAGCTACCTTTGGAGGATATCTAAGATAATAGGGTGGTTGGAGGATGCGGTTGATTGATTCATACAAAGAGGAGATCAAATCTATCGGATTTTGGTAATCCTAAATTTGTATGGCAATGGTTCGCGGTTTGTCTTGATTATAACATTCTAATTGTGTCCTGTTTTCCAAAAAATTTAAACACTCTTCGGCTTTCCAACAGAGATGTCCATAAATTTGTTCATAGCTCCGAATATACTGATATTCAAATAATATATAATAGAATACACACAGAAAGCATACAGAATCCAGTGAATTTTAGTGCATATTTTGGACACGTCTTTTAACGGAAGAGCTGTATCCAGTTTGATCATCCTACTTGGACCACAGCATAACACCTTCATACTTTTTCGAACCCTTAATAGCTGGAAGAACAGTCGAAGTCAGATCAGCAACCTTTGGAAGCCACTCTAGCAGCATCTGGGGTTGCCTGTAGTCCCAAGAAAATCTTAGTTGCAGGAATAGTCGAAATCCTTTGTTTCCATGCTTCTACCAGATTGGAATCATCTCCCGACGAGTGACGAGTACTGGCAAGGAGGGTGGTTGTACAATTGAACCCAAATGTAGTCGAAAAGGTCTGTTTTCAATGCACCCTCCAACCCCAGCATCAGGAAACGGGCCCTGAGGGGCAGTAGTTGAGTACACCTTACTTCTGGTGCTCTATTTAGAAAAATGCAGTGCAAGTTTGTTCAGTGTTGAGACGCTCCACCTTCAAAGTCAATCCCGTCTAAGAGAGCATCCCTAAGAGGGTGAGATGAGGGTTTCCTGCCCAAGAAGTTGTTCCAAAGGTAATTCGCCAAGTCCTTTGTGTCTTGAGACGAGGCTAGGGTAGACCCCCCATCCTCCTATTGAAAGTGTCACTTTGATTCCTTCGGCTTGACACGATTTTATGTCGGAACTCAATCCAACACACGCGTTGCTGTATGGATCACAATGTCCAGCTAGATTGATCGTCAATTTCTGGCCATTACCAAACAACGCAAGAAATGCCAGGATCATGAAATTGTAGTTACCTGTGGCACAGGTATCAGCCAGTGTCCCATCATTTCCATTATATCCCCAATTTATAGCAATTCCTCCAGCTTCATAACCCACCACCAGTATTAGCATTACCAGTGGAATCTATGCTATAGACTTTGATTTTCTAGGAGCCATTTTATATCTTGACAAAGTTTATTTAGCAGAAAACTATGTTTCTTCTTCTGTCCTGAACCATTGCAAAGGCACTCACTCACCTTTAATAGGGCAAAGAAAAATCTGTTAAGATTGTGAATTGTAATAATATATTTTCTCACTGATGCATATTATGACTATTAATTTGTGCTGATGCTATATATGCGTGGCTTAGCAGTTAGTCAAGTATAATTAAATATTAAGCCACTTGTCACAGGCTTAGCATTTTTGTATACTGTGGCAGCACCAGGAGTCGTTGCCAAGTTCATGCCCCTTGCAAGAACACATTAAGCCGGTCTTCTTCAACCCACGGATACAGCCCCCTTAGAGGTTAAATTAAAAAAAAAAAAACTAAATCAAGAAAAAAGGACACAAATGTATAACAATAAGAACACGAACAGTTCAGGAGAATGCCTTTATATTCAAAGAGAAATTTCCACAAATTACAAGTGAAATCACACGATCTCTGTGCTCTCTCTATATATACTATGAAATACACAAGTACATTTATAGACAAGACTCAAACGGATGACTGAGATGGATTTGATCCAGGGGCCAGGTTCAAACTTGTTGAATTCTCGCAGGTTCCATTAACTTTTGTAATGGTTGCTTCCCCACTATCTTTAAATCAGCTTACAACCTTAGTAAACTATCCTACAATTTTGTGCCACTGACTTTCAGCTTTGAAGTAGTGGGTTGGGGGTTTAGGAAGGTTTTAGAACATTGGGTAAATTGTTGTCAAAGGACATTTTGGGTATCGACCAAATGACTGAAGTGAAATATCGATACTTCAAACGGAATGACTTGATCCTATAACTATTTTGAGTCATTGGAAGTAGCCTTATTTAATTAGAGCTGCTCATGACCCGACCCTTCGCTTCTTGGATAGCTTTTTGGTGTTTGGCCCACTTATTGGTTATCTATTGTTCTCCTTTTGGGTCTAATCCATTACCTAACCTAAAAGTCTAATATATTAGTATATATTGGCAGCCTCTTTGTATGGTGTGAGAGACGTTATAGTTCTAGCACCCTTATTGAGAGAAAATCAATTGCTCCTTCACGGCTTTGTGCTTCCTATTGCAGTGTTGTTCTCCCCTGTTTCTCTTAGCCTTTGTGGCTGCTGTGTGACTACAATAACCTCTCATTTTGTGTCCTTTGTGGGCAATACAAAAGCAACCGGAGTTTTGGTGAAGATTGTAGGATATTAGGTTCCATTTGGTGGTGTCGATTTTGGTGGTTTCTTGATAAATTGAGCTCCGAAATCATTCGCTTAACACAGAATCCATCTTTATGCCTTAGCCACGTTTTTGTATCTTCCTCCCCAACCGAAGGCAGTTCCGTCATGTCGAATTGACCTTTCTATGCTAAATTTTCGGCTGCTGCCTAATAGGCCGTGAATGTTGGGCCATGAGTCTCTCCCCCACCTAATCAAGCAATGCCCTCATCTCCACGTAATGCCATAGCCTGCCTTTGAACTGCCAAAAAGCCTTCGTCATTCTCCCAAGTTGCCTCAGATTCGGGCAGTTCCTTCCATTTGATCAAGTATTGAATGCAAAATTGCCTCTACCTTTGAACTTTTAAATGTAGTTCAATAAGATACTACTTTTACACACTCAACGGAAATTTACACAGGTGTCTGGCATTTAATGAAAAAATGAATTCGATCAGCGTATAAATTCACAATTGAAGCAAATATCTTATGTGACAGCTCAAATTTTGAAATGAAGTGGTTAACACAGCCTTGTTTTTCTATAAGCCAACTTTTCTTAACGAGTTTTTAGCTAAAGGGTTTTCTCTAAGAACATATTCTTGTCCTCTAGCTGTTGTCAGTTTAACTATTGTTAATGATTTTGCTTAAAAGCTTAGCTTAATTCTCCAGCATATCAGTTTTGCTCATGATTGATAGCTTTGTTTACACTTTTTGACATGACACACAATTTTACCATTGATTTTAGCAACAGTTATTCAAATCAATGGTCTCGAGTCAAACTAGGGTGTACAACTAGCTTAATTCTCAACAAATGGTTCATATTATTAAATGAGCAACTCATTCAAAACTTTTGTTAATCAAAATGTCCCATGTGTGTAACGTGGAGTCCTTTTTTCTTTGAATGCCTGATGCATAGAATTGCCATTAGTAGTTGGTGGTAGAACTTGAATTTGTACTTGTTATTTAAAAACTTCAACCGTTACATGAAAAATCAATTTATTTATTTGTATTGATATTATATTAAATGACTGATTGTAAGGCATTACTTGGCCTCGGAAGAGATGACAATCCCTCAAGAGACGAACCATTGCTGGAAAGTATCGGGGTCTGATCAATCAATTAGTAATCGCTTGGTTACAGAGCTTTGTGGCTGACCAGTCAATTACTACGGTACATAAGGCGTCACAAGCAACGGTTATATTGGCAAGAGGTGGTGGTTGTTCAGTAAGAGTTACCATGCTGACTCCGCCACTGATGGGCATCTCGGACACTTGACAAAATCGTGTCCTGTCACTAGGAGGACCACTGGCCAGATAAATAGTTTATTTTACTTGAAAACACAATATATTTCTACTTTGCATGTTCTGAATGAGGCATTACTTACATTCACTCAAACCCAAGAATACCTATTTTGGAATTGTGTATCTTGGCGAGACATTTGATTAGTATTGAGCATTCAGTTGATTGAATAGCTTAGAGGTGAGAGATGTAGAGTGGACCGGCCTTGTTGGTCCTGCCCACACCCGTGTTTTTTTGCTCGTTAGTCGGTCCTGTCTAGTGTTTACTTCCGTTAGCTCATGCCAATTTCGCCAAAGCAGTATCTGCCGAATCATTTATGACATACACTACAATCAGAGCAACTCAAGACGTGTAATATTACAGGGGCGAAGTGCTTAATAGTCGAACAAAGAAGTTACTAATGGCAACGACTCTATGCTGAACTCTATGCAAATGGCAACAACTACTTCAACGCTGGCAACCACCAGTTTATTTGTGCAGAAGTTGTACATCAAAGACAAATAAACAGAAGAAGCTCAATATTGCTGGCTTTCTCAGGGTCCGCTCTGTAAACAATAATATTGTACAACAGTTGGCATTAGATGCATTCAGTTAATATGCTATAAGAAAATTAATACTAACTCATAGATTGGTTTGCAGTACTAGATAATGTTGGACAATTTTTATGTATGATTGCGATGAAGCAGCTTGACAAGTGAAAAACGCAATTTAAGAAACTCTATGAGATGACACGTTTGGTAATACAATCCTATCAATACAATACCCTAATGACGCATTTGGAAAAGTGGATTAGATAGTACTGGACAGTATTACAAAAAAAAGTTAAAATATTGTCTAATTACTCGTATATATTAGCATACAAATGTACAAAAGATGTAACAACCAGTGAAAACCTTTGCAAGTACATCGTCTCATCATTGCTCAATGCTATCTCTCGAGTCGACAGAATTTGTGTCAAAATCGTAAACATCAGGCAACATTTATGGCACCACATACTAGGCTATTCAGCAATTTAACTGTAGACGCACTAATTGAAATATCACAATTATTACGAGTCTTCAAGAATAAGTTCAAGATTAGCCAAGATCAACGTTTGGTCACTTGAAATAGCGAAACACCAATTTCACTCTCATATATTAGCATTCAAATGTACAAAAGATTTAACAACCAGTGAAAACCTTTGCAAATACATCGTCTCATCAATGCTCAATGCTGTCTCTTGAGCCGGCAGACTTTGTGTCGAAATCATAAACATCATGCAACAACTTTGGCACCACATCTAGGCTATTCAGAAATTGAACTGTAGACGCGCTAATTGGAATATCACAATTATTACGAGTTTTCAAGAATAAGTTCAAGATTAGCTTAGTTCAAGTCACTTGAAATGGCGAAACACCAATTTCATTTCAAATAAGACAGGAAAAGGGATCAATGTTTTAGGCACAATAGAATACACGAGATACACAATCCAGTAAATAGTAGTTCAGATTTTAGACGTGGCTTTTAATGGAAGAGCTGTATCCAGTTTGATCATCATAGTACTTGGACCACAGCATAACACCTCCGTATTTTGTAGAACCCTTAATAGCTGGAAGAACTGTCGAAGTCAGATCAGCAACTGGGATGAAGCCACTTCCGGCGGCGTCTGGTGCTGCTGGTAATCCTAGGAAAATCTTAGTTGCAGGAATAGACGAAATCCATTCTTTCCATGCTTTCTTCAGATTGGAAATATCTCCAGAAGCGTATTGGCAAGGAGGGTTATTGTAAAACTGAACCCAGACATAGTCAAAAAGGCCAGTTTTCAAGGCACCGCCGACCCAAGTATCAGGAAATGGGCATTGAGGAGCAGCCGTTAAGTACACCTTCTTACTTCTGGTGCTATATTTAGAAAGATACCGAGCAAGTTCATCCCAATGTTGAGATGTGCCACCTTCAATATCAAAGTCAATTCCATCCAACACAGCATTCCCAAGAGGGCGAGACGAGGATTTCCCTCCCAAGAAGTTGTTCCACAGGTAAGTTGCCAAATCCCTCGCATCCTGAGACGAGGAAAGGGTATACCCTCCGGCCCCTCCTCCAATCGAAAGTATCACTTCGATTCCTTTGGTTTGACAGGATTTTATGTCAGAACTCAAACCAACGCAAGCATTGCTGTATGGATCACAGTGTCCGGCTAGATTGATCATGGGTTTCTGGCCATTACCGAAAGATGAAAGAAACGCCAGGATCACGAAATTGTAGTTGCCTGTGGCACAAGTTTCAGACAATGTCCCTTCATTTCCATTCTGTCCCCAGTATATAGCAATTCCTCCAGCTTCAGAACCCACCACCAGTAATAGCATTACCAGTGGAAGAATTGCTAGAGAAGCCGATTTTCTAAGAGTCATTTAGACTTGACTATTATGTTCTTCTATTATCACTGATCTGTATTTGTTTAGTGCTGAACCATTGCATAGGTGAGCGCTTTATATAGGGTAAAGAGGATTCTGCTAAGCTATGATAATACACTATCTTGCTGATGTATGATAGTGATGCAGTGAGAAGCAATTAGAACACGAGACAAATTAAAATTCTTGTCGATTCTGCAAATACTCGAGTCTAAGATAAAAGAACAATCAAATAAGTCATATGTGCCCGTTTTCATCAGATGGCTACTATTTTGGCTTAAGCTAGGTATGCGTGGATGAACAATCACTCAGTTTTAGTTAATCTAATACCATACTAAAGGAAATTGTGTAAGGCAGAAGTCGTCTGAGAAAGTGAAATATTTTTTTAGCTAAACGAGTTTTCTTTCAGAAGTTTATAATGTCCTTTAGCGGTTGTCTTGGTGATCTAGCTTGAAGTAATTTAGCTATTCAACCTGTTCCCAAAGTAGCTTCAATTGTGTATCTTGAATGAAACATTGGCGAGATTATGTGGAGAGTTGAGCTCTGATAAACCTTGATTTTGTATATAGTGAATAAATATAGTAGTAGTCGTCATTCATTATTAAATTATTTATGCAGAAAACAGATGAAGTTTCTCCGAAATATTGAATGATTAATTTAGAGGTGTCTAACGTGATGACCAGCCTGCAGCCTAGATCTGAGCCAGACAGCATATGAAAAGAGCGGTTGGGCTTATGGCTAGAAAGTTCTGAGCCACGCTATAGTGGCCAGTGGCCAAACTGTCAGGCGTCCCTATACTTTCAAAAAAAAAAAATCCTAGAGAGCCCATTGGCTCCAATAAACCCATTGCTATGAAAAAAAAAAAAAAAATTTATATTCCTCCAATGGAGATGCCCTTGATTCCTTTGCTTGACAAGGTTGATGCCAAAGCTTGAACCAGTATGAGCACAAAGGCCAGGTTCACAAACATGTTTCCCCCCCTGTGGCACAAACTGAATCGACCCCAATGCTCGGATTGAATATATTGACTACAACGGTAGGAATTATATGTACTCAGCTAATTTACTATACAGAAAATTTACCTTATATATACAGTAAATGGCCAAGTTCTTAAGCCAATTCAGTAACACACCATACAGATTTCATACAATTCAAAATTCCCAGTGTTTAACTTCAAACTAAGCAGTTTAAGATTACTCAGTGCATATGCCCCGCATTACCAAGCAACATCAACTTTAGAAGTTTGTGAAGACCAGGTTCCAGTATTCCAATCAAGATATACGGTGTGAACGTGATGTTATATATAGCTATACTGAACAAAACTTCAGAGTTACAAACCAACTCTATGTATTCCGCCATAATTCAGCCTCGGTTTTTAGAAAATTGATAGGAAGAGAAGCCAAGTAATGCTTAATCCCTGAAAGGTCATGTGATGGAACAATGCTCCTTGTGGAAGAGGACGAGAACTCAAAATAAGTTGGCTTTGGAGTTGAAGGGCAGCCTATTGACTGAATCAAGTGCTCCACAGATGGTACTTGAAACTTTTGGGGTCCATTTAAGGCAATGTTGTGAACCCGGTGTTCGTAGATTTTCCCGTTCTTATCAAGCTTGTATTCTGAGATACCATCAAATCGGCCTCGGTTCTCCCATGGAACCCGTAGGATACCGTGAACACTCCATCGAACCATTATCATGTTGTCCACAGGCTGCCACACACTTATGATGTCAACCGACACAGCCCTAAAAAATATCCTTCCATGAAATCTTAATGCCCAAAAGATTGACTTGTAGTTTTCGATACCGACAATATTGTTGAGTGGATCTTTGAAGACAATATCATCCCTAAGGCAAAGCAGAATAAAAAATGATTAGAATGAAAAACCCAATTTCGGAAAATATCATACAGCATAAGAGATGAATCATAAAGTTGGAGATGTCCAAACAATTTATGCGACTAGGATTAATATTTTTTACTCGACTTTGAGCATCTGTGGCTAAGCCTAAAAGAAGTAAAAGTAATTTTATGGATTACCTTTATGAACTAAAATTAAATTTATGTAATTGAATTTACTATTTTTTACATGACTGCTCAAGTCCTTTGCTAAGCCTAAAAACTAACTTTGACACAAGTTCATGACATGAGCAAAAATCCCCGAAAATTACGTACTTGTAAATTTCAAACACATGTTTAGCAAAAAATAGTTACTTAAAAGGAACTAAAGCATAGACACATGTTTGGCTAAGTTTAAAGTTACTCTTGTTTTAGCATTAGCCAAACATGCTCTTTATAGCATAACCATCAGAACACCTATAGTACAACCATACAAGCTATGCTCGTTGCTAGAAATTTTTTAAACTGAATGTTAAGGATACTTTTACACCACTATAAGCAAGAGACATGCAATACGCATTCATGCACCATATATAAGAAAAATCATCGGATTCGCATGGACAATTCAAAAGATAGAATAGTTCTTACAAATGGCAGAAATTTTCTTATTCTCTGTTGATACAAAGAACAATAGCTATGGCGAGTTCAGTTCATAAATATGGCCGTACTCATATTTCTTATCTGTTTAGTCACTGTCCTACCCAAAAGACAACCCTACATACGATTTCTCATGATCCCATCAAACAATGCATACCCTCTTAACTATTATATCAAATCAAGACTGTTCTACTCTATACAGATATCTATTACTGTTCATGTTCAAAATTTAGTTCACATATATATTCAATCACAACAGCTGACCGTGATAACTATGGGATAAGGTTTTGTTGAGTTAAGTCGTATATAAATGATTGTGTCCTATGTTAACTCAATTTTCATTTCCTCCAACTTCATTGTTATTTGTCACCAAACAGTGTTAAGGGTGTGTTTGGTACCCATTAAAATTTTCATTCTCATTCTTCTACTCATTTTCAACCACACATTCTTTATTAAAATAATATTTTCCATCACATCAATAACTTTTCCTTCTTTTTCAACCACACATNACAACAATTCTATAATCAAATATAGTGAACAAATTCTTGGAACACTTTTATTTCTAAACCCACCGTCCATCTCAATACATATCACTAGCAATTGCATCACCCTCTCGAAAACTAGTACGCAACAACCCCACCGTCGGGCTAAGCAATCTACATATCGTCAATCCAATAGTTTCATCACAATTCCCCACCTGGTTTACTTCTCTATGCACTTCGGTCACTATTGCTATTATTATAGTTATTATGATCAATCAGCAACTCACTTTGGAATGATCCCATTACTCTGCATTTCTTAAAAATTTCTCACTGCATCTTCAAGCTTATATGCCTTGAAAAATCCTTCCACTATAGTAGTGTAGACAACCACTTCCGGAACATACGGGAGTTAGAATTTGACACCAATGTTCGTCTGAGCCTCTTCCAGGTGAAACTCAAAAAATGCACCAAAAACCCAACAATAATCGACCTCCCAAACCACCGGATTTTGGTACCCTAGGAAAGCCCTTAACATCAGCTCTCATTTCCACCAAACATCATGAAATTCCAACCACAAAATTGATAGAAATCGAAGAAACAAAAAATCT